GCTCGAGCTGAGGTCGAGACGACTCAGTTCAGTGGTAGAGGGATTCGCCGCTCGACGCTGGCAGCGGCTCTTGATGATGATGCGACCACCCGAGAGCAGCGGGTGCGCATCTTCGTGCTGATGTTGTTGTCATGGACATTCTCCCCTGACAGGGGTAGTAGGGCGTTGCTTTACTACCTCCCTGTTGTTCGCGATCTCCAGCGGATCGGGACTTATGATTGGGCCAGCTTGGCCTACACTGACTTCGTTCGCGCACTGAGGGACTCGTGTTGCCACCGGTCCTTTAGGACGAACGTTGCTTTGTCTGCTTTCTGGAAAGTCGTAGAGGTAAACATATTCCCTATAAAGTTTAGCCCTATATGTTAGTTAGCATTTACTCATGCGTTTAATTTCTTGTAGATCTGGTTCTATGAGTATTTTCCTTCCATTGCGTCGGCGAGACCATCGCCGAGGGGGTATCCGGTGAGCGCCTCTTGGGGCGGCCACCATGTGGACCTGTCTACTGCACGTGTTCGGAGTCGGATCATCTCGGTACGACTTTTAGTGTTTATCTTGCTCTTCTGCGACGTTTTAGACATGTTCTTACCCGATTGGTATTTTTATAGGGGCCTGAGGTAGTATACCGACCATGGGGTGGTTGGACAGTACCTAAATTAGCCGCACACTACTCTGCTGAGCGCCGCTACTTTCTGGGGACCTATGGAGCGGTTGTGTACTTAGGAGAGAGAGTTGCTAGACAGTACTCTTCCGATGTTTTTGTTGTTCCATCTCCTCCACCACGTCACATGTTCGACGAGAGAGAGTTGTCGAGCATGGCTGATGAGTCTGGTTCCATCTGGCGGTCCCATGTGATCCTTGGGCGGAGTTATGCTGGGAGCTACTTCCTTTGTTGGCTCCCGCCCCTGTGCAGGCTGAGGATGTGAGGGTAAGATCTTTAGCTTTTTATTTTTTGTTAAGTAGCCCTCAAGTAATACCTTATTGATTTCTTTCTATTTCGTCAGGATGGTCCTACTGAGTTTGTGCCACCCCGTATGTCCATCCACTACCAGGGGATGTACGGGCCGATCGAGGAGATGATTTCTCCGGCTCCTAAGGGCGAGCGCTTCGTGGAGCGGTCGATTCCACGTCACCAGACCAGGGTAAGTCTAGTTCTAATTCAGAATCTTGTATTCAGTTAACATGCATTTTTACTGACTTAACTTTCCTTGACAGTTCTCACGCGAGGTGGTTTCGGCTAAGGCACGATGTATAGATGCCTTTCGGAGCCAGCTCGTCCGGATGAGGAACGCGGCTACCTGTCGTCGAGACGACGCTGTCCGAGAGGTAACTTTTCTTCACTCATTATTTCTGCACTATGCTTCAGTTTTTACCTTGCTTATGATTTAATTCTTTTTGCAAGGTCAGCCGATTGCTTCTCACACCCGTACGAGGCCTGAGGGGCGGAGAGAGCCGGCGAGGTCTAGCTCGAGACGTCGTTGCACTTCGTCCGGAGGTAAAGGTGGTCGTTCTGAGGCTGCTCGAGCCGACGTTGCTGAGGGCTCAAGGTCTTCTTCTGAGGGTGCTCCTGCTGCACCGGTGGGAGAGGCTACCTCGGCTTTCAGAGGTGGTGGGATGTACGAGGTTGGCTTGTCATCGCAGCAGCCTCCGCGGTCTCAGCCTCAGATTGACTTTGGCTGGAGCGGTCCTGTTTTGAGTTTCCCTCCTCCTACGGAGGCTGGAGCTGGTGCTGAGGCCGGAGCTGGCGGAGAGGTGACTCCTCGGACGGCGCAGTTTTATGGCATGATGGGCCTACGTCCTCCGGCGCTGTAGTTCATTTCTGTATATGCATTTTATTTTGACTTTTTATAGAACTTTGCCTTTGACTTATTACTTAGACACTTTGTACTTTATGTTATTGTAAATTTATCTGCTATTATGTTAGTGTATGTTAGTGAGTGCAAATGTGATAACAATTTTGCGCAAAAATTCCGTCATTTTTATTATTGATGGAGGGTATTATCCGACTCTCTCCCCCAAAAAAAAATAAAAAGGAAAAATAAAACGGAGAAAAAAAGCTGATTTTTGAAAATTAATTCAAAAATAAAATTAACTAAAAATAACTACTATATTTAATTAATAAATAGAAAAATATTTAGAAAAATAAAAACGGGGCCATAAAGTCATTAACCGACTCCAATTTAATATCAAAACGCAAATTGAGCACGCGCGGCCGTTCTGATGACTTGGCGCCAGCTGGCGCCAGCCTGTGCCGCGTGGCTTTAGGCGCTACACATAACGTGTGGCGCCAAGAGCTGTTGTGTGACGCCAATATCGGGGTTTTGACGCCAATCGACGCTGACTCTGTATTTCATCCAGATTGAAATTCCTCGCAATTTGTGCATAAATAGCCCCCTGCTCAGCCGATTATTCACAAAATTCCAGCGAAAAAATTATTCTTCTCTATTAGAAAAAATAATTATCATGTCCTTAGCCACTAAAACCTTCACCCAATATTCTCATGAATGGTGTCGATCTCTTAATGCTAGAGAAAGAAAAGAATTGGATTTATTTCACTTGGGGGGAATTTATGGCATCAAAGGGGTAGATTTAGACATAGACTTCATACATACCGCTTTGGAATATTGGAACATTGATACAAATTGTTTTAGAATAGGGTATGATGAAATTAGCCCTTTGCCAGAGGAATTTGGTGCTATTTTAGGCTTCCCTGCAATAGACTTGGTAGTAATCCCTAGAGTAGATGCATATTACTATAAGGATTTTGAGCGCTTCTTTAACTTGAAAGAAAGGGATTTATCAAAAATAGTAGATGGCAATGTAGTGAACTTAAAAGAATTCGCACGCTATTATTTTGATAAACCGCTTTCTGAATCTTATCACATATATAGAAGAAGGGCGTTCTTATTCTGCATGCTTAATCAATATTGTCTTAGTAGCGGTAAAACTAATGAGGGACAATCAATTATAACCACTGTGCTAGAACAAATTGAATCAGGGAGAAATCCAATGCCATTGATAGTTGGAGAGACTATGATTAGTCTAGATGAATTGAAAAGGGACCCAAAAGCACCTCTTCGCGGTTCTCCAATTTTATTACATGTAGAAAAATAATATTTTTAATTACAGAAATCAAAAAATATATTTTTTGTATTGTAATATTAATTTATTTGAATTGGAATTTTTTTACAAATGTGGCTTGATTTGGGTATTCCTAATGGTGTATGGTGCAGAAGCTGTTCTGCCCATTGAGCACTATGAGCCGACCCTTCGAATCATGTTGTATGATGAAGAGGCGAATTGGGAGGCCATGCACCTAGCATTGGACTCACTTCCAGAGCGCAGGGGCATGCTGCCTTGCGTCATGAGATATACCGTCTGAGAATGACTCGGGCTTACAACAAAAGAGTACACAAGCGTCCTCTCAATGTGGGGGACTTTGTGCTACGGAAAATGGAGGCAGTCGGTAGGGCGAATGAACAGGGAAAGCTAACCCCAAATTGGGAAGGCCCCTACCGAATATATGAGGAAGTAAGAGACGGCACCGACCGCCTGGAAGACCCAGACGGCAGACAGCTGCCCAGAATTTGGAATGTAGACAACTTGAAAAAGTACTACTTCTAAGTACGAATGTAAGAACCTCAATTTTGTAAATCTCACGTGTTGTTAATGAGAATATGCCTTCATTTCCCAACTTGTCTTTAAGCTCTTAGTGTCGCCTGTATACAATACAGACGGCCGATACGTTTGTAGAGCGTTTGTCTCAACAGCAGACGCTCCAATCCTTCTGAAGGAACCGATTGTTTTAGAACAGTCGTTCCTACAAAATTCATCAAGTTAACACCAACACTTGACGAATATTTACGTAACCATTAAAGAAGCCTAAGGCCAGATAAAATCATGATGAGGCTCATGGCTAGATGTTAATAAACAAAAAGAGACCGAATGGTCACAGTCTGCTCCAATATGAGTATGACTGTCTGCTCCAACATGAGTCAGATAACCGGCGACGTCCATTCGAGCAAATTTGTCGAGGAGAAGCATCTCCCATTTGGGTGGCACATTGCTCTACGAATATACCAAGCGGCTCTACCAGATGCTAAGGCCGCATTCGCAGTCGTTTGTTTTAATCGAAAGTGAGATATAAAGAGACTCGAATTTTCTAACTTCTCTAGTACAGTTCAGAAATGGTCACTGTTCTCATAAGTAGAAGCTAAACGAGGCATAAAGCCGTATGCGTCTGTTATTGCTCGGGGGAAAAAAAAGGCGGAAAATTTGATTAATAAAAGAGTTAAGTCAACTACTTGGCGCTTATTGAGGCCATTGGCCGGATGACGCTTGAACCTTGCCTATGGGGCAAGACAGGCGGGCAATCATATTTAAAGAAAATTGGCTAAGTTACAAACTTGGCCAATTTATCTCAAAGAGGCCTATGGCTAGAGACGCCTGTTTTTGCTTATGGGGCAAAACAGACGGAGGTTCTCTCTTAGCAAATTTGTTAAGTTGGAAATTTGAGTTTTGTTCGAGCCAATGGCCGAATGAAGGCTTTAAGCTGCCTGTTTTAGATGGACGACTGCCGAGTGGTTTGGGGCAATCACCATAGTGATTGATTGACTTAGAAACCATGCATACCCTTTTAAGTATCAATGATTCCTAAGTCAATCAATCCAATAAACCGAAACCACTCGACATCCGTCCAGGGGCAAGAACATTCGCATGGTATACACGTTATAATACTTAGCCAAAAACATGCAATAAAAAATAAAAATTCAAACAGTTCAAAGGAAAGAATATGGATAACTTCAGCCAAATGGACGAATGATTCAAATTAAAAAAGACCAATCGTCACCAGACGATTGGTTAAGATTGTCATCTGGCAAAGCCAGAAAGATTGTCAAATTACCCGACCCCTCGGTCGGTAAAGATATAAATACTCGGCACGTAGGCCGGAAAAGAAATATACATGGCCATTCGGCCGCAGAAAAGCATAAAAGCTTAAGTGATCAGGGGAGAGCCTCTTTAGTGGCAGCCGGCCTATCGTACTTCGGCTGCTCTTCATCCTTTTTCTCTTGCTCCTCCGCCTGATCCTCCTCCTCGCCACCAGAGGACGACTCCCTAGAAGAGTCGGACCCAGAACTTTCCTCGGCCTCAGCATTCTCAGCCTCTTCAATAAGGCGAGCGTCGAATGCTTTGCTGGCTTCGTCAAATTTGGATTTCCAAATCTGATAGTCTGAGTCCGGTTGTACAGCCGCCCAAGTGTCCCGCATGATGGCTTCATAATCTCTCATCATTTTCTTAACAAGAGCCTCTCTCACTTGATCAGCCACGGACTCAAACTTGGACTTCAGCTGATGCTCCTGGTTGCTGAGGCGCTGCTCCAAGCGGCCCACCTTCTGCATGGCTCTCTCGGCCTCTTCTTTGGCATCTTGAAGAGGCTCGAGCTTCTCCTTAAGAGTTGTAATCTCTTTCTTAAGGGAAGTGATGCGCAGGCGGGCCGAGTCCAGGTCCTTCTTCACCTGCATATTGGCTTCCGCCTGCGAATACATCATATCAAGCGTCAGAAACTCATTCTGAGCAATATCAAATTGAGCTCGATCCAAGGCGGACTCGGCCCGAGCTTTGGCAACTGTTTCCTCTTTGGACTTCTCCTTGAGGGGTAGTCTAAGCCCTTGGACGCGCAGCATGGCCTGCAAAAGAGCCGAATGGTTAAACCAGGCGAAAAAAAAAAATTGCTTGATCTAAGACTCATACCTCGCAGAGGTTCCCCAAGATGCCATCCAAGTCAAGGGTGCCGACTCCTCTGACAGACGCCTTGTCGTCAGGATCAACCGCCCTCATCATGGACTTGGCCATCTGGACTACAGTCGGCCTCTGCACAGGAACTAAGAAGGAAAGAAAGTTAGAAAAATAACTCAAGTACATCTAAATGGAAGAACAATGGAGGCGAATGAATTTTACCGTCGTCCTTCTGTTCCTCCTCTCTCCCCAGGCTCCTCTTCTCTCCTGCTGAGCTGACAGCAGTGGTGGGTTGCTTAAAGCCACCCTTCGATGCCCTCTGGGCATTCGGTTTGCTGATCTCCTGTTCAGCTTCGAGAGAAGAGGCGTCTGGGCCCTTCTTGGGCCTATGAGCAATGTGCTTCCGGCCGCCCTTGCTGGATGCGCAAACATCACCCGCCCTTGTCTTTTGGACCTTAGGGTTGGATGGTTTTGAAGGAGATTTGGAAGGCGCAACCTACATCAACACAAGATAAACGCAAGTTAGAAATCATTCGGGCAAATTTAATATTGGTTAGAAATGAAAGTATAACAATTTTCTACCTTGGGGGTGCCGCCAGTTTTCTGCTCGTCCACTTTGGTGTGAGTGGTTACTTTTGCCCTGTTTAGGACATTCGACCTGTATCGAGCAGCAGATACAACCGGCTTCCTTGTGGCCGAGAGCTTTTCCATTGCTTTGTCTGCAAAAATGAACAAGTGCTAGCATCATTAAACAAGTATTGAAAAGCAAAAGTAAACTGCATATAAAACAGACGGCCGACTACCTCTCGGCATCTCAGAACTTAGCCCACAGGCGGCTAAGATTGTTCCTTCTTCAAACCACTTATACAAAGGGAGATAGCATTGAGGGGTGACCTCCTTCTCCCCCTCATCATTCGTCCACACGGACACGGTAAACAACTCCGCGTCCATGATCTCCTCCTTTGCCCGCCTGGGAACAGGCGGCAATGCGTTCCTGCCTGCTAGGACAGGTGGATCCTTATTCCACCTGTTATACTTTTGGTTCGGGCGGCTGTCAGCAGACTTGACTATGTAGAACTTAGTCCTCCAGTCTAGAATTGATGATCAGAGAGGGAAGCGGAGGCCAGCCTGGAAGGCCGCATCATAGCAGCTGAATGCTTTGTCTTGATAGCTGGCCAGGCTCGGCCAGGTTATGGTGTCGCCCTCGTTAGGGACCGACAAAGTGTAGCCATAGCCTAGGACGACCTTGCGCCTAAAATTGGCAAGGCCGGATGCCATGGCGCTTCGCCTGCCTGGCGGAACATGCTGATAGTAGGGGACTCTCTAGCAGAATCTATGTTTGATCTAGCCTCCTCTGAAGTTACGGAGGCATTCTTTGAAGAAGATGACGAGGCCGACTCGTCATCAGAGCTAGGGGACCGCCGACTGGTGGCAGCGGGGTCCTCCCCTAGACTCTCTTCCGGCGCCTGTCCAGAAGGCCCGGGTTGATATTCTTCATCTGCCTCCCCCAGGATTCCATCACTGGGAGTTCCACTAGATGTGGGCGAATGGTAATAGGTGGGGGTAGGAGGAAGATAGGAAGGGCTGTCAGGGTGTTCCGACAGCTCACTTCGAGGCACTCTTATTGAGCCGTCTGAATAAACAGTCGACCCATCCGAATGGAAGAAAACTCCATCAGAGCTACACTGCCTTGTTGTTCTTTTGATTCTGGCCATAGTGTCCTGCACAGACACGAAAACAGTCGGATTCGGAGAAGTTCGCAAAGCAAGGTCTTTGGCCAAGCATTCGGCACTGCTAGCTCTAGATTCAGCCGTCCCCGGTGACCGGCTGATCACTATCCTACGCCGTGCCGCATGCAATTGGGGAGCCATTTTTTCGAAAACAAAGAAAAAATGAAGAGTAAAAAGAAAATACAAGCGTTACCTTTAGAAGAAGGGAAAAAGACGCCTGGTTGACAAAAGAACGGTCGGACTGTTGGCCAAGTGTCGGATGCTTGAAAAACTCTTAGAGAATTTGAGATTCTTTAAGTCAAAAAAGTCCAAGATTCTCCAGAGAATCTCCAAGGTGTGAATCCAAGGGGGGGTCAAACCTCATTATTTATAGGGGGTAAAACCCTAATTTTTTCCCTCCAGTAAATTTTTGAATCTGACCACTCAGATACTGACACCTGTCACAGGAGTCACGTGCAATGCACGTGACCCCTGTGAGGGGCAAATGATTTGGGTATTTTATACCCGGCCAGGTGGCCCAATCAGAAAGCGCCACGTGTCCTCCGTATAGGTGCCATTTGGACCTATGGAATGATGACACGTGGAGGGTGGACTCTTCTGCGTCCTTCGTGGACTGAAGGTCCAGAAGAGACCATTCAGGTGGCGACACGTGTCACACAAAAAGTGCTTCAAAATCCTTTTGGGCACAGTGACACGTGTCACTTAGGCATTGGCCCTGGGATGGCGGCCTTCTATGGCCCAAATCCCGAGGCGCCGCAAAACGTCATGACTTAATTCCTAGGTCACCAAATCCTAAGAAGGCACACTTTTCAAAAGGACCCTATAAATAGGGACATTATGTCATTTATGACGAAGAGAGAATTTTTGACACGCAATACGAGACAATACGTCACTTATCTCACTTTACCTGAGCTTGGAATCCAAGCAGATAACTTTACTTCCGCACGATTTATTTCCGAACGTTTGCTGACTTAATCTTCGGAGGCGGACCCCCAACCATCCGGAGGTCCGTTTGCTTTGCAGGTACAGGCGTCCTCAGTTGAATCCAGTTTCAGTGTTGTAACTCTCCCGAGGGACAAAAACCCCGAAACATGGCTAATGGAGAGGCTAGAATTAATTAGCCCTCCGGACGATATTGAAAATTATACGCCCACTTGCTTTGTGAGAAGAAAGAAGCGCATCCCTAAAATTGGGCGCCATGGGTGGAAGAAAGTTTTTGAATCACGTGATTTTGCTATCAAGTGGGTCATCCCATGGTGGAAAATAAAAAGGATGGTTGGTGTTAACAAGCAACCTTTCTACCGTCTTCCAAGCTTGTCTCGCGTGACATATTACTATCCCTGCAGAGTAAAGAGACAATATGGCTTGCTTCAAAATATTCCTTCCGGGGATCTTAGTCCTCCCTATGAATATCCCATATCTCAAGTAGTAGATAAATTTGACACTTACTGGAGCGCTAGACCTTTATGGGAAGTGATTACCCAAAAGGTTCCCCCTTCTTTACTTAATGATGTAAAGAAGTGGTTGCTGAAGAAGTGTTCAGTTGATCAGGGTAAAACCGATGTGAAGAATCGTCTAGGTGACAGGTTGACACCGGCCAAGGAACTCTTAGGTGCAAGAATTGAGTTCAAGACACCTACAATGCCTAAGAAAAATAATGCTACTAAAAACAAGGGGAAAAGGAAAGCTACAGACAAAAAGGTTTGGGTGGAAAAGAAGCATGGGGTGCTAGCTGAAGGAGAAACAATCTATTCCAAAATTGAATGTAGGTCCTCTAAAGGATGCATACTAGCTAAAGTAATGGATGAAGAGGAGGAAACAGAAAAGAATTTGAAAAGAGCAAAGAAGGAGAAGAAAGACTAGAACATTGCTTAGCTTTAGATTTATTACATTATTAATTTTTTATTTGAAGTTAATTTATTTCAGCCTTATTTAAATTCCATTAACAATGTAATTTTGTTTTATTCATGAAATTTCAGGTTTCAATTAAATTGTTACTTTAAATTTATTTTATTAAAGCAATGAAAAACCGAAAAAAAATTAATTTTCCAAAAATCTTTCGAGCACGGAAGTCGAAAATTTTCCGAAAAAACACCGAAATTCGCCAAGATTTTATGACTGAATTGGCGTCAGTAATTGTAGATTGGCGCCAGCTATTGAGGTCTGGCACCAGGCGCCAATTCCAATGTCTGGCGCTAATGGCTTTTGGCTGGCGCCAGACTCTGTTTTGTGACGCCAGTTGCTTTTCCGACTTTTGTTGACTTTTTGTTGATTCTGGAACGCGGAGATGTCGAAAAATAAAGTGGCCGCACCCGTAATGGGTTGCCTACGTATCCTTTCCTAAGGAATCAGGCCGAACGTAGCTCTCTTGAGTGTCTTACTCAAGTAATTATGGGTAGTATTTTATAAGTTGGTCAAGATTGGTCATGTTTGAGAATTTATTGCCATCCATGTCAGTTAAATTTGCCGCACCACCTGACAGGATTGTTTTGACAATGTAGGGGCCGGACCAATTAGGTCTAAACTTTCCCCTTGGATCTAAAACATTTTTTCTTAGCGATTTTAATACCAAATCTCCTACTTTGATATTTCTTGTCTTGACCTTCTTATTAAAATGTTTATCCATACGAGTTTGATAGCACTGAGTGTGATGTAGAGCTTCTAGTCGTTTTTCGTCGAGTAGGATCAATTCTTCATATCTTACCCTAGTCCATTCGACTTCATCGAGTTTACTCTCTAGCGCAATACGTAGAGATGGTATTTCTAGTACGACAGGTTGTACGACATCCATTCCATATACCAAAGAAAATGGTGTATTTCCTGTTGACGTACGGATTGACGTGCGATAACCCCACAATGAAAAGTGAAGCTTGTCAGGCCAATCCTTATAAATTTCTGTCATTTTCTCGATGATAGTCTTTAAATTCTTATTAGCTGCCTCGACTGCTCCGTTTGCTTGAGGTCTATAAGGGGACGAATGATGATGTTGGATACCATATTTATGTAGCAATTCTTCACATTCGGCTTGAAAGTGAGTTCCATTGTCACTTATCATTTCATGTGGGACTCCATATCGACAAATGATATTCCTCTCGATAAAGAGTGCTACATGTTTTGCAGTGAGTTTAGCGTATGATTGCGCTTCAACCCACTTTGTAAAGTAATCAATTGCTACTAGAATAAATTTGTGGCCTCCTGTCCCTGGAGGAGTGATCTTGCCAATTATGTCAATTCCCCATGTAGAGAATGGCCATGGTGATGTGTAGGATTAGAGAAAAGATGGAGGAACGTGTTGTAAATTGGCATAAATTTGACACTTAGGGCATCTTTTCACATATTGATGGCAGTCCCTATTCATGGTAGTCCAATAATATCCTTCTTGCATTATTTTCTGGACTAACATTTTGCCATTTATATGAGTTCCACAGATTCCTTCGTGGACCATTCTCATTATTCTTCGTGCATCCACCTTCCCTACACGTAGGAGAGCTCGACCTTTAGGTACCCTTTTATGTAGCTCGTTGTCTATGATTACATATTGAGAAGCCAAAAGTCTCAAGGCTCGTTTTGCTCTTTTGTCAGCATGAGGAGGGTATTCTCCCTTGGTGACATAGTTGAGAATGTCTGTGTACCATGGTTCTTCTTCTTATTCTTCATCTTCGTCTTGGACTGGGTCGTCGTCTTTTATAGCCTGTATATATGCTGGTTTGTGTCTTTTTTTGATAGTTAGAGGCATTTGCTCGATATCCGTGGGAATCCTAACCATTGAGGCTAATCTTGCCTAGGCATCACCAAATTGGTTTTCTTCTCTAGGTAGATATGTGTATTCCACCTTCTCTAACTGACCGGTAAGAGTTTCCAGATAAGTTTGGTAAGGGGCTAGGCTTTTGCTCCTTACTTTCCACCTTTTAGATATTTAATTGATGATCAGAGAAGAGTCTCCGAATATCCTTAACTTCTTTACTCCCAATGCCAGAGCTGTTTCAAGGCCTACCACACATGCTTCATATTCAGCAGCATTGTTGGTAACGTCGAAATCGAGCTTTATTGAGATTGGGACATGTTCTTCCTTAGGTGATACTAGTAGCACTCCGACACCACATCCCTTTTGGTTTGAGGCTCCGTCGAAATACAAGGTCCAAGTATCATCTTCGGTTACCATCAAATCTTCATCTGGAAATTCATTGTCCTGTATTGGTGTCGAGTCTTCTAATGGAAAATCTGCCAGAATGTCTGACACCACGGATCTTTTAATAGCTTTTTGTGGCATAAACTGCACATCGAACTGGGCTAAGTTGACTATCCATCTTGAAATACGTCCATTGAGTGTTGATTTCTCGAACAAGTATTTGAGTGGATCTAATCGAGATACCACGAAAACGGTATGCACCAACATGTAATGTCTCAACTTAGTTGAGGCCCACACCAAAGCGAGGCACAATTTCTCGAGTGGTGTATAGCGTATTTCGTATTCGAGCATCTTCTTACTTAAGTAATAGATTGCATTCTCTTTGTTTTTTACCTCTTGTGCTAGCATGGCTCCCATTGTCTCCTTGGTAACCGTCAAATATAACCTAAGAGGTATTCCGGGAAGTGCTGGCGCTAATACGGGAGGATTTGCGAGATAGGCTTTGATCCGGTCAAAGGCTTTTTGACACTCATCATCCCATATTACTGGTACATTCTTCTTGAGCTTTTTGAAGATTGGTTCACATATCGTTGTTAGTTTTGATATGAACCTACTTATGTATTGCAACCGACCAACGAATCCTCGAATCTGTTTCTCGGTCTTGGGCGGTGGCATTGACATGATTGCTTTAATCTTGGTTGGATCTACCTCTATTCCTCTAGAGCTTATGACATACCCCAAGAGCTTGCCTGAGGTGACTCCAAAAGCACATTTTGATGGATTCAACCTCATATTGTATTTTCTTAACCTTTCGAAAAATTTCCTTAAGGCTACATGATGGCCTGGACGGTCCTTT